TTAAGTGCTTTAATGAAACATTTTATGAAAAAAAAAAAATTAAAAAATAAAGAAATGATTATACAACTTTAAGTGTTTTTTTTTTTTTTTTGATAAGTAAACTAAGTGCTTTAATTAGACTTTTTATGAAAAAAAATAATAAATATTAATAAATAAATAAATGAGTTCACACTTTTAAAATAACTAGCAAAAGAGTACGTGCAACTCGCGGTGTAAATCCACCTGCAAATGCACTTGGTGTAAATCCAAGTGATTAATAAGATTATAATAAATTATAAAAAAAAAAATTATTTGATTAGTGGTTAAGAAAATTTAATAGAATGTAATTTATTTGATATATTTTTCAATATGAGGCAAGGAATATGTAAATATATCTTCATATGTCATCTATATCACAAATGAGCTTCTATTTTTAATTTACGTTTTTGTTACTTGAATTAAATATTTTTTTAATTTTATCACACATCTATCCATAATCATATATTCTATGTAGAAATCTCTGGATATCTTAGTAGAGCAATTCTCATATATTTTAACGTTCAAATATTTTAAGTGATCATCATGCAAGCCAAGCGAAAAGATATCTTATTTCACTTCTTGGGCTTTAAACTCAAACCCATTTATATTAAGATATATTCTAAAATATAGATTCTAATCAAATGAATATATATATAATTATCATTTGGTAATCCATGTGGATCAAACACAAAAGGAATAACCTTCCAGCATTTTGTATTGTAAGAAAGAAGAAACTTTTTTCTTTCTATAGCATTATAACATTTTTTGTTAAGACTTTCCTTTCATGGACTCAAGTTTCTCGAGATAAACTAACTTTCAAAAAATAAATACACTGAAGAAAGAAAAAAAGAAAAAAAAAAAAAAAAATAGCAATCCAAAACTCACATACACAAGTTGACATACAAATACCATATAAAATTTCCAAGAAACGAGAACAAGAAAAATTAAGCAAAAATATTTTAAAATTTGAATTGACAAATGCAAATCAAATGAAAACCAAAACAATTGAAGGATCTGAATAACTGGAAGAGCCAAACTCAAGTCCTCATTAGGAAAAAAAAGAAGAAGAAAAAGGTACATGTAATCCAAAGGAAGAATTAAACAAAATACTCATATTCAAATAGGTACTTCAACATGAGTTTGTTAATTTGTTAAATGAAACCTAACAATCCTTTGATCATGATCACAACGCCTAATATTAAAACAATTTAATATGAATTCATCACTATGAGTTAAACTGAGTAGAGGATTCAAAACAAGCAAATAACTTAATCAAGCTAATTGATGCCCCTGATTTGTTGCACATGAATTCTGCATCCTCATTACCAAAGCTAATTGATGAAAAATACTCCTTGATACTACTTCTTCTTGTGATCCTTACTTGTAATGCTCTTGTTGACCTCTAATCTTGTTACTTCCTCAATATTGGAGCTTAATCTTGTAATTTTTACCTCTATTTATATAATAGACCTTTATGTTATTGTTCAAAATTTTAAGAGACGACAAATAGTATTAAAGGTTGGAAATTTCAAGAGTTACTCCGTATATATCAAATGTAAGTGCTTTAATGAAACTTTTTATGAAAACAAATTAAAAAAATAAAGAAATATTTCTACAACAAGTGCTATAATGAGACTTTTTATGAAAAAAATAAAAAATATTAATAAATAAATAAATGAGCTCACACTTTTAAAATAACTAGCACTTGGTGTAAATTCAAGTGATTAATGAGATTATAATAAATTATAAATAAATAAAAAAATTATTTGATTAGTGGTTTAGAAAACTTTGATAAACTGTAATTTATTTGATTTGATGCTTTTCAATGTGAAGCAAGGAATATGAAAATATATCTTCATATGTCATCTATATCATAAATGAGCTTCTATTTTTAATTTGCGTTTTTGTTACTTGGATTAAATATTTTTTTAGTTTTATCACACTTCTATCCATAATTATATATTCTATGTAGAAATTTCTCGATATCTTAGTAGTGTAATTCTCATATATTTTCACGTTCAAATATTTTAAATGATCATCATACCAAGCGAAAAGATATCTTATTTTGCTTCTTGGCCTTTAAACTCAAACCTATGACCCATGTATATTAAAATATATTCTAAAATATAGATTCTAATCAAATATATATATAATTATCATTTTGTAATCCACGTGGATCAAGTACAAAAGAATAACCTTCCAGCATTTTGCATTGTAAGAAAGAAGCCACTTTTTTTTTTCTATAGCATTATAACATTTTTTGTTAAGACTTTCCTTTCATGGACTCATATTTCTCAAGATAAACGAACTTTCAAAAAATAAATAGACTGGAGAAAGAAACAAGAAAAAAATAGCATTTCAAAACTCACATACATAAGTTGACATACAAATACCATATAAATTTTCCAATAAACGAGAATAAAGAAGATTAAGCAAAAATATTTTAAAAATTGAATTGACAAATGCAAATCAAATGAAAACTAAAACAATTGAAGGATCTGGATAACAAGATTAGCTAGCCAAACTCAAGTCCTCATTAGGAAAAAGAAAAGAAAAGAACGTACATGTAATCCAAAGGAAGAAGACAACAAAATACTCAAACTCAAATAGGTACTTCAACATGAGTTTATTAATTTGTTGAATGAAACCGAACAATCCTTTGATCATCACTACGCCTGATATTAAAACAATTTAATATGAATTTATCACTATGAGTTAAACTGAGTAGAGGATTCAAAACAAGCAAATAACTTAACCAAGCTAATTGATGCTCCTGATTTGTTGCACATGAATTCTCATCCTCACTACCAACGTTAATTGATGAAAAATGCTCATTGATACTACTTCTTCTTGTGATCTATACTTGTAATGCTCTTTTTGAGCTCTAATCTTGCTGCTCCCTCAATATTGGAGCTTGATCTTGTAATTTTTACCTCTATTTATATAATAGACCGGCCTTTATGTTATTTTCAAAATTTTAAGAGACGTCAAATACTATTAAAGATTGGAAATTTCAAGAGTTACAAAAGTTTTGTATTAAACATTTTTAATGAAATTGAATTTAATGTAAAGTGAAAAAAAAAAAAAAAAAAAAAAAAAAAAGAGTTAAGAAATACCTTGGTTGGAGATTTCAAGTATCAAAATAAAAATAATAGAATATTGAATTTTTTGTTATGAATATTTTTTTGCCATTAATATCATCTCATATATACATTTATTTATTCTTATCAATACTATTAATAGTACATATATGTGATATATGTGTGCCTTGCGTTTGTTTTATTATTTTTTTCTTGTTTTTTATTTATAATAATAAATTATGTATGAATCATTATGTGTTCTGATTCACTTTTAGAATAATATTTTTTATGCCATTAAAGTGCTATATATTAAAGTAGTTTAAATGTATATACGTTAAAATATATATATAAATCAAAATTGTTAAAAAATTATCTACACTTTTAGAATAGTATATAGAAGATAATAATAAATTATGTATGAATCATTATGTGTTCTAAATCACTTTTAGAATAATATTTTTTATGCATTTAAAGTGTTATTAAAGTGGTTTAAATGTACATACACTGAAAAAAAAAAATCAAAATTGTTAAGAAATTCTCTGCACTTTTAGAATAGTATAGATAGATATAGATATAGATATAGATATATCCTTCATTATTGTTTCTAAATTCAATTAATAACAATATTATAATTTAATTTCAAAAATTGAAAGCAACCTTATTGTAAAGTTGTAAAACAAATGCTTAATAAACCAATGATATTACACCATTCCCAATTCTATTTCAAATAAATTGTCCAACAAAAATAAAGAAAAAACTTGTACTAGGGAAGGCAACATACAGGTCCAGTGAAAGACCTACGTGAACCCTTGTGTGTGGCTTTTAACAACAATTGCGAGAAACACATCCTTTAAACTTGTGTGGCTTGTTCCTTTGTGACTGGTAACCACAATCGGAACAAATGTATCCTTTAATCTTTTCTCCACATTTGTACCAAAAATAGGTTCTACATCTACATTTATTAGAAACAATACAAAACTTAAGATCAACGATGAAAATAATTTTTGCCCCGATTTATTGCGGTTTTTATTTGGTCCAGTTATACAGCAAATAAGAAAATAGAACCATCCACTTATTTGTTGTGGATAAATAACCTATGTATGATGTATATTACTCTTTCTTTTTTTCTTATTTAAATTTAGTATTGTAATTTTATGAACTCAATATATATAAATAGATCCGTGGAAGACAATTGTGATTGTATTGAATGAAAATATTTCCAAATCGTATTTTGATCGTTATAGTAGTCAAGTTTTTCTAGTACTCCCTTAGCTTGCATATTATTTTGTTTTATTTTTTATTTTCTATAAAAAAAAAAAACAAGTTACACTAAACCACCCCTCGATATAAAAAAACAAGGTACACTAAACCACCCAGAGAGAGAGAAGCTGCATGTCATATTACTGCATCCCTCACCACGAGGCTCAACGTAGTATTTACATCGAGGACATCTGCGCCACATCATCTCCTTGGCAAGCTCCCTAAACAATTTTTTTATTTATCTTTTCATCCTTAATTGTTTGCTCTCATTTTTTGCTGGATGTTTCCCATGGCTTCTAGGGTTTCTTTCACATAGCCAGGTATGGTTCTCTTTGGTATTGTAGGTTATTATATACAGCTGCCGAGCCATATATATGGTATTTATATATATTACATATATGATTGTTTAATGTCCCCCTAAAATTATTAGTTTCTAATATTATCTCTTAATTTTTTAATTTTTACTCTTTAAATTCCTTAAACAAAGTTAAAGTTTTATTGTTAAATTAAACTCTATTTTGTTTTTCCTTTTCTATCATTTTTCTTTTCTTTTGTCATTTTTCTTTTTTTTTTTTCCCTTCTATTTCTTTATATATATATATATATATATATATATATATATATTTCTAATATTATCTCTTAATTTTTTAATTTTTACTCTTTAAATTCCTTAAGGGCTTGTTTGGTAGCTGTTTTGTTTTGGTGTTTTTGTTGTAGGGCTTTATTTCAGGCCCAAAAACATGTTTGGTAGCTATTGTTTTGCTTTAAACAGTACTAAAACATTGTCAAAATTTGGGCCAAAAAGTGAAACACCAAAATGATGTTTCTTCTTGTTTCAATACTGTTGGCCCAATAAAAGCACTGTAGCGGAGGAAGTAAGTTAGGCCAATCACTGTAGCGGATGAAACAACTGTAAAAGCGACTTGCAACAATCGACGCGAAATTTTCTCTCCTCTAAAACCCTAGAGTCTGGCGATTTGGGAGGCGACCCAAACGTACCTCGCGATATTGAAGAGTGTAAGTCCTTTGAAGCCCTAAAACATTCTATAATAGATTACGAGGGGAGGCAATTAGTTTTCTCTTTTGCAGTTGTGTGAGGCGATTTGAGAGGCGATTAGTTTTCTGTCTCTGTATTCAGCGTTAGAAGGAAGGCCCAATCTTTCACTCTGTTCTCTCCCTCTCAAAATGAAGACGATGCCCTAGTTTTTTAACGTTAGATTGTAGGCTCAATCTTTCACTTTCTTAAAATATTATCCAGTTTGCACTTTCTTTCATGGCGATGTTGATTTTTTATTTTTATTTTTCAATTTCTCCATTTCTGGGTTTTAGTTGAATTTGGATTTGTTCAACCCAGATTTCAATTTCTCCATTTATTTTTAACTTCTATTTCTCTCCATGAATTCATGAATTAATCAGGAATTCAATTACGGAAGCCATTGATTTGATAAATACCATTTTGGGGATGTATTAATCTGTACCCAAATATTTATATCATTGCTACAAAATTAAATTTTGAGTCCTGAGCATTTAACTTTAATAATTAAGTGTTTTTACATATTCAAGGACAAGTCCAAGTGCAAGTCTCGAAGGCGAAATTGGCTACCGAATTGAAAAATCAAAGTAATGTTGCAGAACCTTGGAATCAGGCTGCAAAATCTTGTGAGCCTCCAAATGGTCAAGGTGAACCTCTTGTGGTTGCTATTAAAAAACTTTAATAAGCATTACTTGCAGGTACTAGCTCCTAGTTTCATTTTGTCTTATAATTTTTAGAAAAAAAATTGCTTCAAATACTGGGTTTTAGATTGTTTAGTGTGTGATTGAGTAAAAGTTGAGCATTTATTTGATGCACTTATTATGTTCTAACATTGAGTATAAAATTTAATGATAGGACATATTGCTAACATGGTGATTGCGCCTAATATGTGAAGAATTGTAGCATTAGTTTTTACATATCAAAGGTAAAAAGCTTTAGTTCTTTCCTTCTCAGTTGAATGATTGTTGTGCTTGTTATTTCTTTGTTGATCTAATACTACGACATTGTAAATTTGGCTTTAGGATCTAATTGGCATCTGAAATATATAAAATTCAGGAGAAAATGTCATGAAAACTTGAGTTGGTGTGGATGGAAAATTTTGGTAACATGACTAAAAAAATTAATGTTTTTTACTATTATCCATTTCTGATCAAGTGTATGCAGGTTCTTGGAGTAGAAGATTGGAGACAGATAAATTTTGGTATTACTTTTGCACAAAGTGGCTGCTCTCACACTAGAACCCATATTATTGCACTTGTCAATCCAAAACTTTACTTTAGATTTAATGAGTTTTACCCTAATTTAGGTTGAAGCAGGAGTTATCATTGTTTGAGAATTATGTTAGGTTGTATATTTCATTGCATTTTACATTATCTGATGCGTCATCATACTTTTCTGAATTGTCACAAACTAATAATTGTTTGGTTCATTTGTTTTGGTGATGACTCCATCTTATCTCCATCATGATGCTTAGTTCAAACTATATAGCATTACCTAAAATGCTATAGAAATAGAAAGGAACAGATTTTGTTGTGGAGTTAAAGTCACGGGTTGAGAATAAATACCATGTTTGATTAGGTATTATTCACTATATTCGGATGGAAGTTGATGATGTTGTTTGTAGTAATGACAAATAAAAGGTACATTTGATGTGTGTCCGGGACTTTGGATGACCAATAGTGATGGGATTATTTTATTCTGTTTCCATGGAATTTGAAGGCGCATAATTTTTTAATATGGAGTTGTTCTAGAAAATTGAGTGCTTGGGATTTACATACTTTTGGAACAAGGTAATGCCATTGTTTTAGCTTTGAAATAACCGTATTTCATCACATGTGCAGAGGATTGTATTTCTAGCTAGCATTGTCTAATTGCCTGACCTTGCTGCTGTGTACTACAATTGCTTTGTCTAATCTTCTTCGTGTGCTTGGCTGTGCATGTGTTTGGTTGCTGCTGTGTACTGGGATTGAGCTTGAGCTTGAGCTTGGGGTCATTTTCTCAAATTTACAACTAGGTTCATTGATCCTTGTTTGGAGTGAATTGGACTTGTGAATTGTGACTTGTACTTCCCATTGCCAACATGTTGTTATCAGTGCCTTGTTATTTTAGAAAGTAGTTCAAATAACTAGTACAATGTGTAAACTGTGTATTGATGGATGTGTTTCAGATCAGTGGCAATGTAAAGTTCAGATTAGTGCACAATATGCCGACAATGTTGTAAATTTATTTTTCAGAAAGCAGTTCAAATAACTAGTACAATGTATTTTTCAGATTATTGTAATTTTTTTTTTTTTGGTGTTTTGGATTAGTTTATATCATTTAAATAGTAATTTTCAAACTTTGGGCCAAACACACAATGACATATCCTGAATTGAATTAAACTTGACTTCTCGTGATTGCATAAAAGCTCTAGTACTAAAAACACTATTGTTGGGTTAAAAATACATTAAAAATATATTCAGGTAACAAAATTGAAACAGATTATTGCAAACAACTTGTAAATAGGTTATTGTAAATAGGTTATAAAAACAAATTAAAAACAATGATAATCAAACATGGTTTTTTTTTTTTGTTTTTTTTTTTTTTTTTGGCAACAGTTGGAGTAACCAAACATGTTTTTTTTTCAAAGTTCTTGAAACGCATGACCTACCAAACATGTTTTGTATGTTTCTGTTTTTAACATTTCCATTCCCAAAACGCTCCTAGAGCAAAAACACTGTTTCTATTTTAGCCAAAAACAAAACGCATGCCAAACGGGCCCTAAACAAAGTTAAAGTTTTATTGTTAAATTAAACTCTATTTTGTTTTTCCTTTTCTATCATTTTTCTTTTTTTTTTTTCCCTTCTATTTCTTTATATATATATTCTTAATACTGGCCGGAAATGCTAGCTCGGCCCCTGTATATATAAACATCTTGATCATCCAATAAAACTTGTGATAAAAACCCATCCCCATATATATGATATATTCAGAGGCGGAGCATTAAAAAATATATATATATTATTATTTTAAGAAGCAGAAGGAAAAGTTAAAGAGGGTGATGAAAAAGGAAATAAAAATGACACAATTTTGAAAAGAAATAATTAAAGCGTGATTAAAGGTCGAAATTTAACTTCTTCTTTTTTTAAAGAAAATTAACGGAATTTAAAAAGTAAAAAAGAAAAAGCTAGGAGATAATTTTAGAAATAAATAAATTTATAAACACAATATATACAAATGTTCATATATAGGTAAGAATTAAAAATAATAATCTACTTATTATAGTGGGCGGGGCCATGCTAGGGGAACATGTCCGGGGCATATACTGGCTCCGCCCTTGAATATATATTCTTCGTTAATGCTCCGTTCGGTAGGGGTGGACAAATAATCTATGAATCCGCGAATCTGATCCGATCTGGTCCGATCCATGCGGATCAGATTGGATTACTACACCTACGAATCAGTGGCGAATTCAAAAAAACCAAATCCGAATTGAACTCATGGATCGGATCACGGATTGGGCTGTTAGAAATCCAATCCGATCCAATCCATGAAATATATATATATATTCAAAAAATATATTAGTTAATTTAATTAGTTAATGATAATTTAATGTATTCTAAGGATGTATTAGTTAATAATTATTTAAATATATGAATTAATATTAATAAATTAAAATTTTATGTATTGGGTTAGGGTTAAAAGATAAATAAATAATAATTAATATTACTTATAAAAATAAAAATAAATAATTTAGATAAAATTTAATCCGCGGATTCAATCCGATCCGATCCGATCCGTTATTATATAGATCCGATCAGACCCTATTCGATCCGTAAGATAACGGATCGGTGGCGGATTAAAAAATTTATAATCCGTTGGAAGCGAATTGGATTAGGATTAATGCCTAATTCGATCCGATCCGATCCGATCCGTAGCCACCCCTAACGTTTGGTAGGAAGGAAGAAAATTGAATGGAAGAGAAGAAAAAAAGCTGGACAACTTACTTTGTTTGTTAGGAGAGAATGGAAAAAGAATTTTAAATTATTTTTACCATTATACCCTCACTAATTTTACTAATTTGAAATTTTATTATGCATACGATTAATTTCACTTTAATTTGTTGTTTTGTCTTATATATATATATATATAATCATATTCCATCTTTAAAAAATAAAAAATAACCACTATTTATCAACACGCCTCGTGGAACTAGAGAGAGCACAGGGATTCCAATATCTAATCCTACTTTCTGGATGGGCATTGCTGTGCGTTTAACCTCAAAAGCTCCTTTAGTTCTCTCTTTATATACAAGTATATGTATGTATAGTTAGTCAATGTGAATCTATTTCCGGCTGGTGCAATTCCAATTTCCAATTTTTAATTACCCAAAAAGAAAAAAAAAAAATTGTGAATCTTTTTGGGTACCTCAAAGAGCCAGGCACATAAATTCAATTTCTTCTTCTATTGAATCAATGATTCAATTTTATTGGCGGTACCTATATATAGTCCTGTGTATAGCTGTATGAAATTATATACAACTTATTTGATGATTATGCTTCGTTTGGTAACAAGGAAAAAAATTGAACGGAAGGGAGGAAAAAAATGATGATTGAGACATCTCCATAGGGAAGAGATTAAGCGTTTCCCTCTTTTTGTTCGGTTGGATAGAAGAGAATGGAAAAAACTGACAATTTAATTTGATCAGTAAGATAAAAGGAAAAATAAATTGTTAAGTTGTTTTTACCATTAAATCCATTCCTTACTTTATTTATGAAATTTATTAAATATTTATGAATGGTGATGTGATAATTTAAAACTTCCTTTCGAACGTAGCACCACCAATGTGACGGTGAAAAAGTTATACTAGCTAAGCTAATAGCGTGACTAGAGTGGATTGTCAAGAAATTTGATTAAAAGGTGTCTTTCATTTAAATAATTTTCTTTTTTGACTGTGATTAATATTATTATATATTATTATTTTAAATTTTTTTTTTTTTTTTTGAGCTAATTCGGGACGTCCAGGATGGCACGAACTCTTAGGGCCCCTCAACAACCCGACTAATCCCCGAGAAGTCGGAAGAGTACCTCCCCACCCGAGTCGGGTAAGTCACTGCAGAGGTAGCGGAGGCTAGCCACACAGAACACCTAACGAAACTTGAACCCCAGATCTTGGGCTTACTAAGCTTCAAAGTCCAACGAGTAAACCGTTGGGCCATATCCGAAATGGATAATTATTTTACAGTTATGAAAGGCATCTTTAGACTTTAGAACCTTAGACTTTAGAATAGTAAACAAGTTCTTATCACCAATGTTGTTACTTGGTATGTACCATCAATGGAAAATTACTACTAATTTCATTGTTATTATGTTAAACGAGTCAAAAATTTATTAGGGTTAATTTAATTTTAAAAACCTTAGGAAGCTATAATTATCATAATGTAAATATTCAAAAATTATTCAATAAAAACCAACTTAAGCAAAAATAATTATTAAAATGTCAATTTTCACTATTCATAGATACATAAAAATACCCCTAAACGCCTTTTGAGACTTACCCAATTACCCTTACCATCTCATCTCTCTCTTACTTTACCAATCTATTATTCTTTCTTCCCCTTGGACCACCACTTCCAATTATTTTATCCAACCACCTCCTTCAACGAACTCTCCGTTAGGGGTGTTCAAAAAATTCAGTAAACCGAAAAATTAGACCGGACCGGATTGAACTGAACTAAACTGAGCGATTTGGGCTAATGATTAGTTAACTAAGTCTATATACTTTTAGTTATGGCAAAAAATAAGAGATAATTTCACTTACCTCCCTTGAGATTAAGCGTAATTACAGGCGGTATCCTTTACGTTTCAAAAATTACACTGACCTCCCTCCAATGTGATCGCCAGGGAGTTGTGTTAGAAATTTGTGTGAATATACTAATATACCCTCTATATTATATTACTAATGATAATGTGGTAGTAAATTACTTTTTTATCCTAACAGAATAGGGATAACAGCGCAGAGATGCCAGATGCGGCGTACAAGAGCATGATGAAGGAGTCCGGCAGCGTTGTGAGCTTCTTTTCAGGTGAGGGGAAGATGACAGAGCCGACGACGTTGACGAATCCATGCCAGATCAGGTCCCAGCAAGTAAGGTGGCGCTTCTGCTCGATTTCTCTCTCTTTTCGGAGATCGATGAGCTCGGTGGAGTCGTCGGAGCAACTGGAGAGGCGGTTCTTGAAGCGATGGAGAGTTCGGGGAAAGTGATGCTCTCTGTGTGGGTTTGGCTCGACAGATTGTTCTGATTGAATCGATCGGTGCGACGATTTGCAGTGATGCATATAGGTCTAATCATCTAGAGATGGACCAGTATATATGTATATAAATCGTGTGTGTATATATATATATATATACGGAGTATATTATATAGAGACATAGACGTGTCTGTAACTGTAAGAGGTGCCTTATACAAAATTTCAAAGAGAAAAATAAATTGTGATAGGGATGCGATGATTTTCTGAATCTCGTTTGCAAGCCGGCGGCGGAGAAAACAACAGCGATGATGGATGACATTTTTTTTCTGAATCCCCAATCTTTGAGTTCTGAATTCGAATCCATGCTTGCGAGGTTTGTGTGTTGTACTGGTTTTGGTGATTCTAATTCAAGTGATATCATGTTATAACCTTGATATTGCAGTCACATAATGTCAGTCACTTCGCAATTTGGTTCAATTGACACTGAGGTGAGAATTAAGTACTGACTTTTCATGGACAACTATATCGTTGATGGAATCGCATAGTGGTTGTTCAGTGGTGAGGTCTGCTATTGCATTTTATGGATAATGACCGTTGTCGATATTGTAATTGTAATCAATTAAATGTGTATGTAATCTCTTTGCCAGGGTTTAAAAAATAATAATAATAATTAAATGTATATGTAATCAATTATGATGGAGATTGTACATTGATAAATCTGGTAAAGAGGTTAAAGAGAGGGTAGATTGAGAGAAGATGCTCTACAGTAAAAACCCTCCAGGTGAGGCCTAATTACAGACAAGGCCTAATTACAGACAATAAAAATCCTTGCACATATATATGGTTCGTGGTGGGTATAAATCCTTCAATGAGTTAACCAAGTTCTAATTGTACTTACTTCCAATTCAATGAGTTAACAAACACCAGTGTGTTTGTTTTTTTATCCCGTTATTTTGAAAATAGGTGGTTTTGGATATATACATGGGTTTGTCGGTAACATAACCTTCACTTATTCAATGTTGTCATCGTCATCGACGACTATGTGGATCCATGGATTCTGGCGACATGGG